GTGTGCTTGTTTCCTATATGGTGTTTTTCAAAATTATAGAAATSTAATGATAAATTGAACAACGTAAAACAGACACTTGAATGTTATTGTTCAAYCGTGATCTCAGAAATAAATTGTTGAGAGCATATTTTATATATCATGGTTTGCAAAGTTTTTAATGGTCAAAATCTTTTGCTGCATTTAAAAAAGAATTTAAAAAATAAAAAAATGAGAAGCGAAAGAAAGAAAGAAAGAAAGGAAGGAAGAAAGAAAGAAAGAAAAAAGAATGCTAAAATAATAAAGATCGATATAAAGTTGCAATAATGAAAAATGATTGATGGAGTGCTTGGACTTTCTAACCCCATCTAACATCTAACAGAAAGTATTTTTGATTTCGTTCAATAGATTTCACCTTATGGATGGTATTAGCAAAACAGAGAGAAGAGAGCTGTAACAGCACGATGCCTCGCASATTACATCCCAATCGTTATTAAAGTAAACAGGAACTTGTTTTTGCGCTTGATATCTGGAAGAACACATTTTAATCTCAACTTCTGGATGATAGTCTCTTCAAGTTAGAATATACATGGTATTGTGTAGTGCASAAAAAGGTCAGCGTATAGTGAAAGATTGGTTTGATATTATTCACGTCACTGTTGTGTTTCAAGTGCGCTTTCTTTCGCGACTCAAGGACATAGGGCTGATATGTCATGATTTGTCGAAATGACATCCATATATTTTAGATTGAGACAAATTAACGAAGATTCAAATACACAACACGATTTTTCACTAGGATTTCATTAGAGAACCGCACTGGAAAATCTAGATAAGTTATGTTGAAAACACGCAAGAATAATGGGGCTGAAAATAGGAAATAAATTCCCTTCCTAATTGCCGATCAGATGTGTGTTTGCTCTTGGCCTTAGTCGCAAAGGAACTTTACAATTCGAAAAACGCAAGGCTAACAGAGTTGAAAACATGAAGAAGAAATTCCCTTCCTACTTGCCGATCAGATGTGTGTTTTCTTTCGGCCTTAGTCGCAGAGGAGCTTTAAAATCAGAAAATAGAACTACCATAATATCTATCTATCTATCTATCTATGAGAGAAATAAGCGAATTAAATGCACTTGGTAGATCTTAATAAAGATAAATATTAAAAGCAGAGRTTGCTCCTATTTGTTTCTATCACCGTTCGCACAGACAACTAATATGTATTTACGTCCCAATAATTCAGACTGGGAGAAATGAAATAAAGATGGTAAACTTTCACCGACGATGCGTCGCCAAGATTCACACTCGATTCTGTCGGACCAACTTCAGTCAAACCTTCAAATTTATCGAACCTAGAAACTAACTCACAGATCAACTCTGAAACAACCTCCGGGCTGATCGAAGTCAAGGYGCGGCTAACTCACAGATAGAATTGATCGAAATTTATAGCTAAACCATTTAGAATTACTAGAATTAGAAATACTTGTAAAACAAGTGYACTGTTTTCAAGTCATACTGTTACGCGCGTAAGTGCGTCAACTTTGATTGGTTAGTTTCTTACAGTAGTTTTAAATTAAATTTAAGACATGTTAAGAGGGGGCTAAAAAAATCTTCACATGAACGCCGTCCGTCCTTACATAAAGATGGATCATCCTTAGGAAGAGGATGATCACWCTTTAATCCTCCATGGGTCGATTTTCATTGGTTGTCAGTGTTTTCGAAATGAATTCAAACGATCAAATTAAAGAGGGGGCTCCAAAAAGCACCACACATACGACTTGCAT